CTCGGTTCCGGTGCCCGCGCCGTGGAGCGCCGGCTCCGGGCAATGCCTCGCGCAGCCCTCGCTGCTGCCCACCCTGGGTCCGCGGGCGTCGGGGGAGCTCCCGCAGCCGCCCCGCTCGGCGCCGGCCGCCGCCTGTGCTCAGCTGCAGCTGCCCGACCGGCCCGGGAGCGCCGGGCAGGAGGACCTGGAGGAAGACGATGCCTTCTGCAGCGTGCAGGTGCCGGCGACCGCCTTCTTGGGCTCCGGGACCCCCGGGAATGCGAGCGGCAGTCGGGGCCGCCTCAACTCGTTCACTCAGGGAATCCTGCCCATCGCCTTCTCCAGGCAAGTCTCGCAGAACTACTGCGCCCTGGAGCAGCCCGGCCAGGGCGGCGGCGGCGCCAGCGCCTTGGAGCAGCTGCAGAGGTCCAGGTGTGTATCCTAGACGCCGCGCGCGCCCAGCTCCGTGGTCCTCCCCACCTTCCCGCGCCTGGCCTGGATCTGGGCACGAATCCTAACCACTAGAGCAGACGAAAGGGGAAGAGGCCCAGGGAGCGTGTGGTCACACATGTGTGCACGAAGCTGGCACTCGTCGAGCCGGAGGACCGCGTTCCTGCCTCACTCTGGGGGTTGGGGTTTCAGGAACCCATTAAAAAGCGGCTCCCAAACCTCCCGGCACAAGATCATGAGCTTCCTGAAACCCGGTCCAGATCCGGAGGCGCGGTCCCAGGCGTAGGGCAAGCAGCTAGCTGAGGGTTGCTTTGCCGAGCAGTGGGTGGGGCCCAGGTCGGGCAGCGCGCTGGAGTCCCAGCTAGCATCAGACAAGTGTGAACCCCTCTGGAAAGTTTGTGGAGCCCAGAAAAATTTATTTTACCTTTGCTTCCCCAAGAAATGGAAAGTTCTGACATTTCCTTGATCCGGGCCCAGGGTGTAGAAGACAGGGAGGAAATATGGCCCGAGACCTTTACATTCCAAGAAAATTGTCTTGCTGGAAGTTAAAAGCTTACTGTATGCTTGCTGAAGTTGTCTGCAGGTATTTGGCATCTTAGCAAAAACGTGAAACGCTGAACACGTGCATATTCTTATTTGGGGGACGTAGCTGGAGCTTTTGCCATTGGGGACAGTTAGCCTTGGGTCTGTGTGAGATAGTGGACCTAGAGGTTGGTGACCAAGCCCTGTGAGGCAGTAGGGAGCTGCAGGCCTGTTCCCTCCGAATGAGTCCTCCCTTGTTAATAAGGCTTCCTATGAAACTATAGCATTGACCATCTTGGCCAGCCAGCAGTAACTTAGTGACATGAACCTTAGCTTGCCCTTCAGGGATAGGCCCTTACCAACATTTTGTGGGATCAAGGTAAGCAAGTACAGCCTCTGTTCTAGCTGTACTGTACTGCTCCAATGAAGGCTCAGGCTTGCTTTGGTCTGAATAAAAGGTGGTCTGCTGGAACTTAGCTTCCTCCCTTAATCAAGTGAAGAAGAACTAGTCAGTCTCCCTCAGAAGTTTGCTGACTTCCCAGTGGGTGAAACCAGAATTGTGGTGGTGTGGAGTATTGCAGTTTAAGTGCCTGTGAGCCTCAGGCAGGGGTGTGGAGCCTGGGGAAGCAGCCTTCTGAGTAGATGGATGAATTGGCAACACTGGGTACAGGTGACAGTTTTGCCCTGGCATTTCTTGTCAGAGCACGAGTCTCGCCCAAGAGTGATGAACGCACTGCCAGATCTGTGCACACCCAGCAGTTTCTGAGAAGATCTAGGTTATCCTTGACATCACACCCTGGCTCATAGTGACTAGAGTTTGAGCTCTAGCCCAGCAGAGGGTTGTAACAGGCATTGTAGTAAACATGCCAGGATGCCGTGTGGAGGGCAGATGTCCTGACAGCAACTGGAGATGAGAGTCCCCCCCTCCCTACATACATGCTACACTCTCCAGGGAACTCATTCAGGGGATGTGGAGCATCTAGTATTTCTGAACAAAAGAACCTCTTGAACTTGCTGTCTAATCCTAGCACAGTGAACCTTTAGGATGATTTATTGATCACTCTGGCCCGAACACAGCTCAAGATGCCATAGTCTCAAAAGATACATCCTTGCCTGGCAGTCATTTCATCTCACTGTTTCCAAAAGGTCCATATTTGGCAACCTTCTTAACAGAAACAGCTTAAATTTGATGCAGGGAGTAGAGTAGGTTAAAGTGATTTGAGAGAGGTCAGCGTGGCCATGGAGACCTTCTGAGGTATGTTATGTTTATGATCTCTGAAGAGCACTTTCACCTGTCTAGACCAAATGTGGCTTAGCCATGTTCACCTGAGTGCGGCCAGGAGGAGCCAGCCCTTTGCTCCCCTTACTGTCCCACTGTGGCTCACTTTATGACTCCCCCAGACCTGTGGGATCCCTTCACCTGCTGCTTCACAGAAATGCTCCTGGGATGTGGGTTGCCAATCAACTTAGGCGGACTTTGGATTCTTTTCTAGCTCCATACGGGATTTTCTGGAGCCTTGTTACTCCTGAGCATAAGCCTGGACCCTTAGCTTCATGGAGAGCTTAGAAGAATGAACTGTCCACCCCACTCTCATCTGCTTGAGTTCAAGTCCAAATTCCCCAAGCAATTCACATACAAATTAAAGTTTAAGAAGCACTGCCTTGGCAGATCTGAAATCTTTTTCTAATGAATTTGAGGTTTCCTGTATTGAGTTTGTTAGGAGTATATGAAAATCACAACTTTAGGATCTGGAATCTTGAAACACTTTCTGGTTACTTTCCTCTGGACTTTCACAATACTGGGGATGGAACCAGGCAAGGCCTCTACCATTAAGCTATATATCCCTGTCTCATCAGGACTTAGAAAACCCAAATGAATTGCTCAGCCTTCCAGGCTTTGAGCTGCAGTTTGGGAGTAGCATTGCTATGGTCAGACCTTCACATGAGTATGTGCTCTGTGATGTGAATCCACGTCCCTGTACACCTTGCTTATACTTGACAGTTGACCCTCACAACTGCCTGGCATGTGGATTCTTTCCCAGATCGGGAGACCAAAGGGCTCAGAGAGGTTGAGGTACTGTCTTGGATTGGTCTGGTTACCGAGAGGCACCATGATCATGGACCCAGTTGGGTCAGGAGAAGAATCTGGGTCTTTGCCATTCCAAGCCTGGTGGTGTTTCCCTCTGCCACTCAACCATAGCACTTTGCATACAGTAGGGTCATCAATACATTTTGAGCTACTGACTGTGACTCCAGGATACCTCAGGCTAGTTACACTGTTGTGATTCAACACCCTTCCCTGGTGGTCCCCTGACATTTAACTTCTTGTTTCTCCCCTAATTTTACTGCTACTCCCTGGGCTCCATTCTGTTGGAATGTCCAGGATTTCCAGCATCCTGCCAGCCTTGTGAAAGCGGTTCTATGTGACCCTGGAGTTTCTGAGATGAAAGCCACCAGGTACCTTTGAGCTTACACCCTGCCATGCTGCTTCTGCTGGGGCAGTGAGCCCCTTGTGGGGAAGGTGTTAATAGGTAAAAGGGAGCACAGATTTAGAAAATGTGTTTTAAGGCTTCTTTTACTTTAAAAACATCATCTCGGGCCCCTGCTGGCAGCAGCCCTGGGTTATTCCACTTCCAGGAGCTGCTGACTGGCAGACAGCCATGCAGAAGTGCAGAGTAGAGCCCAGGTGAGTGAACGCCAGCTAGCAGGGCTGTGCAGTGACTGGGGTACAGTTTAAGAATAGTGCAGGGCTTTGCCTTCTAGAATACCTGAGTTAGCTCTATGCAGTGAGTTCTTCAGTGGAAGGAGGCCATATGATGAAGGGCCCCATGTCCTGGGTTCAAATGCTGGTACTACCATGGCAGCTGTGTGACCCTGGGGAGGTGAATCAACCCTTTTGAGACACTTTCCTTTTGAGCTCTTTGGTCTGTGTCCTTGAGACCTTGCAGATGCCTGGTGCACTTAACAAAGCATTCTTACTGACTGCTAAATGTGCACAAGGCTTCAGGCCTGTCAGCTGTTAATGTGGTTAACATTACCTGGGGATCTCTCTTTTGTTGCTGTTTCTGTTTGGTTTTATATTTGAAACAAGGTCTCCCTGTAGCCCCAACTGGCCTGGAACTCACTATGTAGACCAGGCTGGCTACAATTTTACAGAGATCTGCTCCTGAGTACAGGGACTAAAGACATATGCCATTACATTCAGCCAGGGATCTGTCTCTTAAAAAGCAAATAGTCCAGCCAGGTAGCCTTTGTCTGTGATCCCAGCACTCAGGAGCCTAATGCAGGAGGATTGTGAGTTCAAGGCCAGCCGGCTACAGAGTGAGAACCCTATCTCAAAAACAAAGGCAGGTTAAAGTAGGCAGCCCCTTTCTAACCAGCTCCCTGGGAAAGTGGAACTGGAGGGATGCACTGTTCCAGGACTGTGATTCCTTCCTGGTCTAAATCTGAGGGCTAAGCTTAGAGATGTAATTTGCTCAGGGTCACTTAGCCCTTCAGGGTAGATAGAGGCCATCTTCTTCCTCTCCTCCCTCCACTGCTTTCCCTTGACGCTTAGGGTTGCTGCCCACCCTCTGTGCTGCCCCCTTGGGGTGGAAACTGGGCACATGCTATAAACTGTAATCTTGATTTTACTAAAAAGAAAAATGCCAACGGTCCAGGAGTGGAGAGCCAGAACCTGGGAGGGGAGATGGCTGTTCTTCCTTACTTTGTGCCTGATTTCCTCAGCAGTAAGCAAACCCAAGTTGTCTGTGAGCCATATTTCCAGCAACATGAGTTTAGGAAGCCAAAGCTGTGGCCCTGGACAGAACCAGGCTTCAGGTAGAGTACTTTCCCAAGACTGGGTAAACCACTATGTTTTTCAAGGGGCTAAATGACATTAGCGGGTCGCGTTGGCTGATAGCAGAGGCAGCCCAGGCCCGCCCACAGTTCTCAGAGTCACAGAACCTGTAGCAAGTGTCTACTGGGGAGGCCAAATAGGAAGCCAGGTTGCTTTGCCCTGCCAGGGTGGCAAGTTTGGCTGTGGCCTTGTGCTTTCTGGGAGGGGTGTGAAAGTCACCCTGGGCTCTTCCTAGCCCTCCCAGCAGTGGGCCTCCAGAAACTTCTAGTGCCTAGACTGTCCCCTCATTTGGGAGTTGGGTGAGGCGAAGGGGCTGAGGGCAGTGGACCTTGTAGGCAGAATAGGAGTAACAGTGGGAGCTAATGACCTGACCAGCATTGACTCCTGGGCTTGGGGCCTCAGTTTCTTCCTGGAATTAAAGTCCTATGGCCCAGCGGGGGGGGGGGGGGGCCCTTTGGCTTGGGGAAGGGGCGCTCTTTGGCTTGGGGAACATCTGTAAACTGTAGAATTATATGCAAAGCAGCGGTGTTTATGGTTCTGATTGAGAAACATGCATTAATGAATGAGTGAATGAATGAATGACCAGGCTACACACTGGAGTGTAGAATTTTATTTTTTTATT